GGATCCATTTGGACCTTCCTACGTACTTGCGGTACGGTCTCATATCAAGACCTATCTTCCATGCCGAAAAAATTGCTGCCTTTCACTCCTGCCGATGGATTGATTGACAGGCCACCCCGGTTTCAACCTCCTTTCCCTGGCAAGGGATATGAAATCGAGAGCATACAGGATCAGTGGGGCACAGGCCCCAACTGTGAATACGTTGTTAAGTTCCTTTTCCAACCTCACACAGAGGCCCGATGGTTCACAATCAAGGAAGTTCTCAAGTCTGCAAATTCAGTGGTGTGCGTCTATGAGGCTGAACAGAAAGGGCAACCCCTCAGACGTTCTCCTCGTGGACACTCCTAGCTTGGGGTCCTCGCTCCCCGGGAGGGGAGGAATGGAATGAACTGCAGTGGCATGTGGGCTGTACACTAACATCGTTTGATGTTGCCTGGTTTTGAGCTCTTCGGGATTCGATCCCGTGACCTGTTTTGTTTGCTGTGTTTTTTTTGCGTGAGGCCAACTGCGCTTGATCCCTAATATGTTTGGAGTAGCCTTTGTAGACAAGCTGTAATACCACTAGGTCCCTCGGTTTTGAGCTTTCTGCCCTTGAGCTGTAGGTCGTTTCGTTCCTCCCCTTTTGCCAATTTTAGGTCTAGATTCCGTCCTAGGCTATAGGCTGTCGTCCGTAGGCTGTAGGCTGTCGAGTTAGGGAATACAGCAGTCTACAAAAGTGTCGAGGGCAAGGAAAAACAGGTTGCGTCTCCTCATTTGTTTCCACGAAGTGCTGCTGGAGGTCACGTGTGGTTTGAGGGCTGCGTTATTTCACTTGCGGCATCATCTTCATGCTGCTAGGGTTGTCCTCCATAGCTGCGGCTTCCTGGCTCGTGTTGTGACTGCACTGGGCATCAGGCCCTGAGCAATGCGAAGCGCCTCCTCTTACCTGTGCTGTTGGGGATAGACAGGGTCGCCATCGAAACCCCTCTTGCAAGTGTATGTCCAAGTGGCCGACATCACCTTATTCATCAACGTCTGGTGCTCTTCTTCCTCGTCCTGGGAGCTACCCTGCACTGTTGAGCGGACACTTCGTCTGCAGCGGGCATCGAGTTTGGACTGCTGAGTGGCATGTCAGGTTCAGGAGGGCAGGTGGCGCTTGATGGGCTTGATAGGTTGGGCGCAGGCCTGGGCCATAGCTGTGAGCTTGAGGTTGGGAGGAAGAAGAAGTCTCCCTTACTTGTTGAAACTCTCTTCTTAGTTGGTCCATGCATGTTGATAACGTGGTTGGGATTTCTGGAAATAACAGTGCATTGGTTGGCTGGAGGGAGCGGGATATTAATGAGAAATCTGGCCAGACCTTTCTGATCGAGCGAGCCTCTACAAAGAAATGTGGCTCGAAAGAGCGAGCTGGGGGCCTGGATTTCGGAACCTGGTTACCAGCCATTGCGTGGTTTCTTTAAATCTTTGCCTGCTATAGCAAAGACCTTAGCCCGTGAGCGAAGCTTGAATTTGGCAGCATATACCATAGCCAAAGAGTGGCAAAGTATATATGACAATCTAGCTATGCATTGGCCCTTCGAGTCTG